GAGAGAGACATAGAGACAGAAAGCGAGAAATCATCCCCCAGGGGGGATGGTCATGCCGCGCAGTCCCTTCTCCTCCATTCTCCTCTCGGGATCTTCGGCATGCACGCACACGCGCCCAGCGTGAGTTCTAAGCCACCGGGTCTGGGACGTGAACCAGGGTCGACTACGTGGGAGTTCAGCGACATAGCCATTACACTAACTGCTGGTTCCCTATTCTCTTTTTCAAATGGAAAAAAGCTTAGGTCACAACTGTTGGCTCCATCAATAGATATTTCAAATATTTCTTCTCAGGTTTCTTAACTGAATCCATATCTGTGGTAGTAATAATCTGTATTGGTTACTTGATATCTTTAATAGTAATCTCATGTAGAATATGTGCATTCTCTCAGGAAGCAAGTGCAATTTAGGATTTTCTGTTTTCTTAATGTTTAGATATTTTCTTGTAGGCTGTTCGGTGGTATGAATCCTTAATCTTGAAAGCTGAAGGAAAAGTGGAGCCTGATTTCTTCTGTCAATTAGGTCACTTCATTCTCCTATTGGAAGATTATGCAAAAGGTAATATATTTTCTTTTTAGGTTTTTGCTTAACTTATGCTTGCATTATGCTTTGCGTAAGTGTTGCTTTTTATCAAGGGTATTTCCTTTTTTTTTTTTTTTCCTTATAAGCTAAATCCTATATAAGCAGTAAGAAAATAAAGTATGTGGAAATTTGAAAACTTTGCTTAAATATTTAGTAAATCTTTTACTTATTTACTTATTTTAAAGATTTTTGCCTTAAACTGTGTGTGCTCCCAGGGGAGGGTGGAGGAGGGGGAGCAAGGGAGGGAGAGAGAGAGAAAGAGAGAGATCACTTTCTAGGGGTTGTCCACGGAAGAGACTGCAATCTCTTCTTCATTGTCCTCCTAAGATCTTAGACATGCATATACACACACCCCTCATGATTTCCCCTCATGATTTTCAAGCCACTAAGTCCAGTACTTGAGCCATGGTCAGCAATGTGGGAGTCCAGTGACATAACTATTACACCATCTGTTGGCTCCAGTAAATCTTTTAATTGCTAGAAGGCATGTATCCTTGCCAGAAGGAGACAGAGTAAGAGGGAGAGTGAGAAAACACTCCATATGGGAAGTGGTCACTTCACAGTCTCCTTCCAGTTTTTCATTATGTCTGGATTTGGGGCAAGCACAAACATGCATTTAGTGGTTTTATTTTTCCATTTGCCAGGAACTCAAAGTGTAGGGTCAGCCATTGGGATGCCGTTCCCTTAGTTACCAGGCTATGGGACTGACTGGCCCTATTTTATTCACTAAATCTGATGATTCAGTAAAATTTAACTACTTTCTACATTGCTGTGTGAAAATCCGTATTCTTTAAAACCATATCACATTAAAAACATTTGAAATCTTTCCTATGTAAACATAGAAGTGGAGAGTTAAGAAAGAATAAGAGAAACGGCTTTTTTTAAATTTTAATTTTTTTTAAAAAGATTTTTGGTATAGGGCATGTGCACTCACCAGACAGAGAGATAGAAAGTGAGAAATTCCCCCATGGAGGCGTGGTGAAACCTCAGTTGCTTTTCCATTCTCCTCTCATGATCTTGGGCATGCATGCACACATGTCTAGTATGAGTTTTAAGCCACTGGCTCTGGGACAGAAACCAGGATTTACTGCGTGGGAGTCCAGCAATATAACCTTTATGCCATCTGCTGATCCTAACATTTTGTTTTATTTACATTCAGGCTTTTTTTTTTTTTTTTAAAGAATTATTTTTATATCAATATTTATTTATTTGTAATAATTTAACCAGAGAGAGATGATCGCATGAGAGAGAGAGAAAGTGAGGAAGCAAGCTACCTGATCTAGGACCAGAACCAGAACCAGAACCATGGTTGACCATGAGGGAGTCCAGGGCCATTAACCACCATGCCACCTGTTGGCCCCTGTATTCAGTTATTTAATTATACTGTTGGCAGGAAATTTAGAATACCAACTTGTGAGGATAAATTCCATTTGTAAGGGCAGATACAGATTATAGGGAAGCTCTAGAGCTGAGAAACAGTTTTGATGTTTGGTAAAATTTGCAATTCCACTGTTTTCTGATTAACCTTATGCTGTTTTGCAACTTCGTGTTTTTCCTTCTATGAGTTAAAGATCTCATCCTCCTGGCATCTGGGTTTCTGCAGCTGCTTTCCTTTTTTTTTTTTTTTTTTAAGTAAGCAGCAGTGAGAAGTTTTGAGATTTTTACCTTGCTGTTACCAATTTTTGTAGAGGTGGCGAGGACAAATTCCTGTTGTGTTCTATGCAGTGGAACTCCATTGAGACCAAAGATTGTCACAAGTAGCAGGACACTGCTTGGCTGCTTCAGGAGAACCTCTTTCTTAATCTGTATTGTCCAGTGAGGATGATCAAAATGGTCCTAGAAGTGATGCTAGCTTATAGCTTTCTCACCCCTCTGGAGAGTCTTTTTGTCATGGCTCAATAGCTTTCAAGGCACATCTTCAGTAGGATAGTACCTAGGCATTTTGTGATGCTTAACTGCCTTGGTAGCACCATTCATTTTTCTCCTTTTTCTTTTCAATTCTGGATTTAGTGGCCAAGTATTTCCTTTTCTACATGCCTTTCTGGAATATGACACCTTCAAAGTATCGGCTGAAGCCATGGACTAGGACTGGGTTTTGGCTGCAATGGGGCTTCCCCTTCTTGGGCTTTTGAGCTTTAGAGTCAACCTTTTTTAATTTTGCAACTGGCTTCAGCCTTTTTGGCTTCAAGTTTCTTCTCCTTAGTATTCCACTTCTCAGATTTTTCACCTGCCGTCTTGTATAGTAGGAAAGAGAACTTGCATTTTTTTATTTTTGTTTTTTTCATTAGAATTTTCCATTTTAGTTAGAAAATATTTGTAAGTCTTATCTGTAAGAATATACATATATAATTTACTTTGAGTTTAAGACTTGAATAAAACAGTTCTTTTTGAAATGCATTTGAGATATATTTTTAGATAAAGATAAAATTATGAGGTAACTGTTGTATGCTTTTCATAGTAATAAAATACTGACAGTAATTATTATCTTGGAAAATTAGAAGAACTTCTAAACTTACCTCTATTACAATATCAAACCAAAGAAAAACTGTCTTATAAAAAAGGATATTTTAGACCCTTTTGAAGAAAGTAAACATCTTGATAGTCAGTAGATTGATGGTATTAGGATTTTGAGCAAATTTAGTTAATGGAAAGAATAGCTGACAAATTGTTTTAGACTTAGAGCAAGGAGTTGATATGTTACATTGAAACTTTAGCAGTAGAATTTTGCCTGTGCTCAGTTTTTGTCAGGATAAACCAGTCTTTAGTATGAAAGGCAGTTTTGATTTGAGACAGTGTAGGGTATCATGCTTTCTGGGGTGTTCATTTCCCAATTATAACTCAGTACTTGAAAGTGGAAAGAGATTTATTTATTTAACTTTCATGAACTTTTGTCTTTCTAAACTGTAAATTAGATAACACAGGATCTTTTTTTTCTATTTTATTTCTTTTTACATTTTTCCACATTTACTTTACATATTAAACAATTTTTGCTCACACTCCATAGTTCTTGATAGTTAATTTTTAAAATCTCGCGATATGAATGTTCAAAATATTTCTTATATTTTGTATAATTTTGTGACTAACAACAGAGACAGTATGGTTTTAAATATTTTTGAGAAAATATTTACATGTCAAATACTCATTGCTGAAATGCAAATGCTCAGCACACAAGTCACACCTAAGCCTTCTCAATTCACCCTGCCTACAAAGTATTCTTTGATATACCATCTCCTAGCAAAGATCAGTCTCTTTTTCTTCCTTCAGTGTCTTTCTCAAGATAATCCTCTGGTGTGGTTGCTCTTTTTATTCTCTATTGATTACAGTGCTGGGCTAGAAAAGTCCAGGTTATCTTGTTATAAATTCTTTCATATATCCAGATCTTTGGGTACTTAATGCCATCTAGTGTTTCTTGTATAGTATTCTCTCTCTCTTTTTTTTTTTGGTTATTTTCTTAGTTTTTTTGGTTGTTTTTTCTTCTAGATCAGAGGTTTTGTCTTCCACATCTGAGATTTGATTTTCTGCATGGACTAATATGCTTTTAATACTTTTGAGGGAGGTTTTGATTTCCTGAATGGAAGCCTTCATCTCTAAAAGCTCCATTTGATTCTTTTTTTTTAATGGTGTGTATGTCCTCAGATCATGGAAGAACTTTAACACCTCCTGGAATTTGCTCTCTCTTTTCTCCTGCATCTTCTCTAGTTCATTCTTTCTTGGCTCTTATATCTCCTTTAGTTTTGTCACTATGAATATTCTGAATTCTCTGTCAGACACTTCCATGAGTTCTACTGTACTATCTGTGGATGATAAGGGGATCCCCTTAGGGGAGAGATATTTTCTTGTTTTTTCATGTTTCTTGTGCCTCAGTGGTGTTTTCTGGTTAATCTGTGACAGAATCTCTCCTCCACTTTGCAAGGTGGTATCCACAGAAAGAAATTAGGAGTTCAGATTTATAAAAAGAAATTTCTTCCTTAAAGCAGGAGGTTCAAAAATGTTGAGGATTTCAATGACCTTCAAAGTATTCAGATGCTTGACTGCTGTACACCTAGGCCTTTCTAGACATTCAGTGTGTGGAGAGTGAAGTGTGGAGTGGGAAAGTAAAGTTAAAAATATTAGCAGCAAAAAGAAACAAAACTAGAAAAATACTAACAAGAAAGAGAAAAAAATTTTTTTACATGTAAAAAATGAAAAGGGCAGGACACACCTCATCTTTAAAATGGCTTCTGAAATTAGCAAGAGAGAAAATGCCCAAGGTGAGGTGAAGTGGTTGAAAACTTAAAAAAAAAATTTAAAGAGAGAGAGAGAGTGTATGTGAGACTAAAAAAAAAATTTAAAGAGAGAGAGATAGTGTATGTGAGACATACAGAGAGACTGACAGCCAGAGACAGAGAGGAGAGAGGTTGCCCTACTTCGAATATTTCAGGAGTCTAGAAGATGTAGTTTAGAGCATATCTTCCCTGAAAAGGCCAGGAAGGCCAGGACACATCTCAGCTTTAAAATGGCTTCTTGTTTGAATATTTTGGGAGCCTAGAAGATGAAGTTTAGAGCATAGCTTCCCTGAAAAGCAACATAGGCTCTTTATAAATGGTAATTGGAACTCTTTATTTATTTTTTTAAGAGAGGTTTTTGCTGTATGTCCTCCCTGTAGAGAGAGAGAGAAAGAGAAAGTGAGACATCACTCTCTAGGGGATATGCCTACAAATGCAATCTTTTCTCTAGTCTCCTCTCAGGATTTGGATGAAACACACATCTTATGTCATGAGTTTTAAGCATCAGGTTCAGGGTTTGAATCATGATTGCCCATGTAGGAGTACAGCGCTTAACTATTACACCAACTGCTGGCCACTGAACTCTTTGTTGTTGTTAAAATAGGCTTCTAATAAGTGATTGTTACTAGTAATATTTATTCATCCCTTAAAGTGTTTAATTTTGGTTAAAATACAGTATTTTAGGGCCAGCTTATTGAATGGTTTCTAAGG